GTAGGGATGGAAAATACGGTTCATGAGGTCCATGAAAATAGCTGGCGCATTGCTGACACCGAAAGGCATGACGACGAATTCGTAATGGCCGTAACGAGTCCTGAAAGCGGTCTTAGCAACATCTGACTCCTTAATCTTCAGCTGGTGGTAGCCTGATCGTAAATCAATCTTTGAAAACACACAGGCTCCCCTCAACTGATCAAATAAATCGTCGATCCTGGGAAGCGGATACTTGTTCTTGATCGTCAACCGATTAAGATCCCGGTAGTCGATACACATGTGCATGGATCCGTCCTTCTTCTTAACAAAGAGAACGGGTGCTCCCCACTGTGACACGTTCGGTCGGATGAAACCGAGTCGTAACAATTCCTGAATCTGCGCCTTAAGCTCCTGCAACTCCTTAGGCGCCATACGATATGGGGCTTTGGATACTGGACCGGCCCCTGGAATAAGATCGATAGAGAACTCCACCTGCCGGTTAGGCGGTCCTCTTAGAAGCTCGTCTGGGAACACGTCCACAAACTCACGAACGATTGGAACGTCATGAGGTGAGCGTGCTTTCTGAGAATCGTCGACAAGGCTCACCAGATAACCCTGGCAGTTGCCTCGTCGCAGTAACTTAGTGGCTTTTGCCATCGAAACAACATGAGGCAAAGAACGATTTCTGGAGCCGAAGAAAGTAATCGACTCGTCTCCTGGAAGATAGAGAGTAATCTCCCGGTCATGACACCTGATATCTGCATGATAGAAGGATAGCCAATCCATTCCGAGAATAAGGTCGAAGTCCCTCATCTCAAGAACAAACGCGTCGGTAGTCAATACTCGGCCACCGATGGAAAGGCTAAGATCTGAGGCTTTAGCTGAGGTCACTATCTTCCGTCCCGAGGCTAAACTCACCTCGAGAGGGTCGACAGCGGTAACGGCATGAACTCCGATGGCATCAAGACATCGTCGTGATATGAATGAATGCGTTGCTCCAGTATCGAACAAAGCGAAAATAGGAATATCATTAAGCACGACCATCCCTGACATAGTACCTGGCTGCTGTGCTGCCTCGGCCTGATCAATCACGTAGACTCGGGCCTTCTGTCTGCCCCTCTGCTGCTGCTGCTGAGGCGGCCTCTGTGCCTGCTGACGTGGCTGCTGCTGCTGTGGTGGCTGCTGAGGCTGCTGGGGCTGCTGCTGAAGTCTCTTCGGACAGCGACTTGCAAAGTGTCCAGGCTCGTGGCAGTAGTAGCAGATGTCCTGTCCCACGTGACACTCTCCCCTGTGAAGTCGTCCGCAAGTCGGGCACGGTGGAACCTGCTGCTGTCTCTGTCGGGTCCTCCGGTCAGTCTGTGCGCCCTTCCCCTTTCTCTTCTTCTCCTTCGCCGGCTGAGGAGCTGTTAGAGCTGGTAGAGCTGCGAATGGCTGAACTGGGGCGGATGACTGAGCACGATCACGAACTGCCTCCCTCATGATGCTAGTGTCCACCTCCTGGGCGATAGAGACTGCACGAGCGTAGGTCTGAGTCCCATGTCCCACGATGTTGTGACGGACTGCTGGATAAAGCCCGTCGATGAACCGCTGCGCTCTCTGAGCCTCCGTGCGAACCAGATCCGGTACGAAAGCTGCAACTCTAGTGAACTCTCGCTCGTACTCATCAACTGTACGAGTGCCCTGCTGGAGCGCTAAGAACTGACGCTCTATCTCTGCCTGATAGTAGGAGGGGTAGCACTTTTCGCGGACTAGCTCCTTGAGCATGTCCCACGTACAACCCGCTTTTTCACCGGGACGCATGCTCCAGTAGGCATTCCACCAGAGCCTAGCATCACCAGTGAGCTGAAGCTGAGCGCAAACTACACGATATCTATCGGGGCAGTCCATAACCTCAAAGATAAATTCCAACCCCTAAATCCATTCATCAACGATGCGGGGATCTCCCTGCCCTGAGAACTTTTCAGCGTGGTAGTCGCAGAACTGTGCGACTACAGTAGCCTGAGTAGGAGCCTGATGATCGGGTTCCCTACGTGGCGGCATCTGAACATTGAGAAAGTTTAACATTACTGAATACGTGATAATATTCTGACTGATTACTAAGGCACCCAAATCTCTTGACGAGTTGCCAAAATGGCCGATAATTACTGACATGAATCCTGAAGAACTCTAGAGTCATATCGGAAGGTACTAAAGTCTAGAGTCATATCTGAATGCCCTGAATTCTAGAGTCATGTCCGAATTCTAAAGTCTGAACCTGATTCGAGCATCTTAACTAAAGTCCTGATCCTTAATTCTGAGCATAGACAAAGTAATATGTCGTCGGCGGGGCGTGAGCATGACGGTTCAGGTTTTCCTGAAAAATTACTGACTAAAACTTTTCAGAGATGCAGAACCTGGCTCTGATACCAATTGTAACACCCCACCTTATTGTAAAATCAGAGTACGAAAATTTCGCAAAGTTATTTAAAAATAAAACCTTTTTACTTTGCGAAAACTGATTCGGGGTGCTACCTTAAAATCGTGACTTAATTTGGAAAATCGTTACTTAAATTTTTAATAAAATCATAGTGTTACTGGAAGCATAATGTTTTCCAAAAGTTCGTCAAAATATAAGTTCATCAAAAACCGATATCAGCGGAAGCGTAAATCGTCATAATACATATACAATCAAAACATGAAAGTCCTGAAACCATCGTCACGTCACGCTCCATGCCCGACATCCTGACCTGAAAAATATGATAAAAGTGGGAAATGAGCACTATGGCACTGTGCTTCGTGGAAACTCATACTAATGTAAACATTGAAAATAATAACAACATCATGATATCAGTGTATACATAACCTCAACCTCAAGCCGGTAATAACATGAACATGAATCTGAAATCATCACGCAACGTGACCCTGACCGTTACCTCATCTGCCGGCAAAAACTAATGTCGGACACCATGTGCACACTCTAGTGGGCAGACTAGGGCCACTAGAATCCAGAATGGACCGGCGACC